AATCGGCTTCTTAACAAAAATACCTGAACAACTTAGCTAGCCGCGCAATTTCGAATGACAGATCAAGTGAGTGGGTAAAAATCATGTAAGCAACAGACCTATTTTCCTGGAACATTGTTTACTCGATGTTTTGGGAGAAGTATCCTCCACACTATCATACTAACAGGATTTATTCGTCATAAGAGAGGTATCCGAATAGCAGGCGCCCTAGACATACTTCACACCAGAAGTAACTCGATAATACATTTGGTGAATTATGACAATTTATTTGGAAGGAGCTTAATTGAATTAAGGACAGACAAATTAGCATTTCATTTGGCAACTAATTGAAAGAGGAGCCTAAGGAATTTGATGGATTGTGAAAGAAACAGTATAATGTAGATAACTCCGGCTAAAAAGCAAACAAATTCCATTAAATTAAACAGGCTTAACGACAAAACAGTTCACATAAGACAGCTAAACCAAAATATAATAGGAAAATACAAGTGATGGTAGACAATAAACCGGATCTATGCGAATATTATGAATATTGTTGGATTGTGATTCAAGGTCTCCGCTAGGAAGAAATTGATAAAGATAAAATAAATATAAGTCCGTATCCTTAAAAATATGATGCAGCATCTAAATAAAAATTTATAAAAATATGGATGGCAAAACGTCCATTTCATTTATCCGCTACAATTGGCACAAAGTATGACGAAAACTTCAAACTCAAGTTGAAGGCTTCCAAGAGATATAAATGCTAGTAAATAAGCCAATTTTCTAATCTGCGGCTAACAACACAACGAATATGGGTAAAATATTTATTTTTATCTATCACAGCTCATTGGATGATATTCTTGATGAAATATTTCATGCAGAATAGGCTAATAAAATGTAAATTAACTAAAACTATGTACCCAAGGCGCTAAATGCCAAGTATAAAAACGACTTAGGCTAATCAATGAAGCGGAATAGGAAAAATGGGGATTGTTTAAAGGAAGCATGAATCAATTGACCTTGGGGAAACCAAGTAAATTTATAAATATATAAATGTGCCCAAGGGGGGGAAACGAGAGTAAACCTGGATCATTTGAAAATAAACAGCAGAATTTGTTAACACTTATATGGTAAACCGCCACCAGATAAGACAAAAGTAAACATATCTACCTTTATTTGACTTCATTATTCAGAGTAATGGATCAAAATAAACGCACAATATTAGCATTAGTAAAGTCACAAATCAGATTAACAGATGAACAGTAGAGTAAGAATAAAAGGAAAAGTGCTTACTCGACTGAGGCAGGATCCCGGAGGAAGGCGAATATGCGTCGCTTCTGTGCTTCAGCAAAGTTCAAATTTTTAGCGCGTTTTGCGCCCGTCACTTGATTCATCACATTTAGAGACGTAGACAGAGCTACACGATATTCCATTTCGGTTATGGACATACCCGGCTTATAGAAGCGAAGGATAAGGGAACGAAGTTTTGGAGGCAGACCGTCAATGAGAGCTTGCTTGGGGACCCAACCATAACTATTCGATGGGGTTGGAATAAAAGAAAAATAGTAAAGATACAGTGAAAAATGAATGTTGAATTGAAAAAAGTGAAAAATTAATAATAAAATTGGGTTGGATATTTGATTTTTAGCCCTAAACCACTAATGTTAACAAGAAAGCCTAATAATGTCCACTTTTGATACGAAATCATAAGAAGAGTTTGGGGCAAGTAGATGTATACAAGAAGAAATAGGAAGAGAACATACCGTTCTCCAAGCAGCAGAGTAAAGATATCACAACTGGCCGCTTGTTCAAGGCAGATGCGGAGGGCAAGGGATGATCGCATGGCCGGTTCTGGCACTCCCCATCGGAGATCTACCTCAGTCAGATGTACATGGAGTTCACGGGCTGCTAGCTTGCGCAGTGTCGGCATGATTAGGCCGCATATGAGATCTCGTTCCCCGTGCATGTCCAAAAAAGTGGAAGAAATGAATACACGGCAACTACGCCATCTGTTGGTCAAGAAAGCAGTTGGATTGGTATGAATGCATTAGCTACAAAGAGAAAAGCGAATCACTGAATAATTGACCTTTCCTCAGTTGCTAAATTGCTGCCCATAGGGAAAGCGAGAAGGCCCTCATTTGGAGAATATAGCAGCTCATTGTGGATTTGCAAGAGTGCCTCATTATCGAGGTCTGATCAGCAGTTAAGTGAGACAAACAGCATTCCTTTTCAAATATGTGAAACACGATTTCCCTTTAATCAACTTTGAAACAGACGAGACGTAAGGATGCCTAATAAAGCCCTTATATTCTTTAGAATTTCCGCATTTTAAGAAAAATTGCGGAGGTCAAATAGATTCTTGTCCGCAGAAGAGAGTTAAGAAAGTGAATGTCCTGAATACAGATCCGGCTTGTAGTTTGGTGTTTAAATCTCAAGTACGAGAATACACCGAGGATGTTGACCTACTGATTGTTCTGATCATGTACTACATTTTAATCCGACAGTTGGTTTCCTTGTAATCACATCCATCAGCCCTTTGTTGCTATATTCTCCTAAATGAAAACGATGCTTTTAATATGCCGTTATATTTAACCATAGCTACTAGCTTATTTTGTCTACCAGTATATGGCTTTTATAAGAGCCTCGCCAAATTGGCCTAAATACTAAAGTATCAGTTTATAGTGGATTATGATTACAACTTATCGAAGAAATTTGCATCTGCACAACGAGATAAACAGCAACCCCTTGTTGCGCGAGGTTGAGGTTCTTAAATTGGATCACCAACTTTTTCACCACTACATGAGATGTATTCACCCTATTTCATTTC